TATAATTATTTTATTTTGGACACCTTTCATCCGGACATCCTCTATAGACTACTACAATTACAATTATTCACAGAGCAAGAAATCTCTCCCGAAAAATTTCTGCATCCTGTTATCACAAATGCTTTAAATCTTTTACTACCAATCATTCAATTTCACTGTTACTGGGTCCTGTACATGCATCATAGCAGACGTGGGCCTGTAGAAGCAAACACACTTTGCCCCATCCTAGCCACATACAAACATACAAGGTAAATTCTTTCTGCACGACTGTTTCCTTCATAACGTTTGGAATTTTAAACAGTCTTTATGGAATTGCGTGCGATGAATCGTGAAGTTACGTTATTACCACGTCATAAAATCGGGTTGTAAGCTCACCTGTCTGGATCCTTGTACAGCGCCATCTTGGGCTGTGGATAGACACCTCGCGCCCTGCACGTCAGGTTTACAGCGTCAGGGCCAAACCTCGAAGAAGTGAACTCCAGACTCTTCTCGGGAGCTGCAACATCATGAATAATAACATACAGTAAGTCTCATCCCTCACCTCAGTTTGGGGGTGGTGGAGATGTGCCACCATTTAAATTTATTTTACCAAAGATGGAGGAAACTTGTTCCCTATATTTAAATGGAATATTTATTCTATATAATTACTTATGTAACACCCATTCAGAATCCAGTGGGAAGGTTCATCATTTGTTACGTAAGTTGTCGTAATGTTAAATTCTCTGCTTTTCTCGCATCCTTTCCAGTTCGACGTATTACAGAATGAAGTGTCGAAGCTGATGCTCAACAACATATCCCTCGAACAACACACACACACACACACAGTCAATCGTAAACCGTCTCCTTATGTTGTGATGTGTAGAGCCATTTCAGGCAACGCCCGAAATACGCGCACTCAACAATAGAATCAGTGTCGCAAGAGGTGTTTTCTATGTGGTTCGCACGTGTCCATTGCTAGGCAACGTATGTGTTGCCAATAATATTTTTCAGTTCAGTTATCCGTTGAACATCAGCCTGTGTATAGAAAAATTAGCATGAGAATGTTATATGTGAATTCGTTGCCAAGAAATGAAATGTGAAGAATGAGAGGCCTTGGAGCGTCCTGGTGATTTGCGAAGTGGGTAAATTAGTGATAACGCTATGATTGATTGTGATTAAGAGAGATTGCAAAAAGTGTTAATAAATCCAATCAGCCAATCAAAATGTCGTTATTATTAGTCACGGAGCAATAAACACGTGAGAATATAGTGTACTACACTTTACGTATCCACATCATAATATTATCAGTACTCACAGAATAAACACGATACACTGAAACAAAATCTGCGGACTCCTTCATGATCTAATACACAAATAACCTTCATGCAACGTTCGAAAATTAAATTGTATGATAATAATTTGAAACTGCTTAATGACAGTGACAAATCTCAGCTTGTAAAAAGTTCATGTGTGTGTGTGTGTGTATATATATATACTGTAGCATGTATAGTCGTTGTTATGCAATAGGCGATTAAATAAATGGCCGTTTCTGAGCAAAAACTCTGTAAACAGTTCCCCTTGGAAACGAATACGCACGCAACTATAGACATTCAGTTCAGTTATTCAGTATAGAGGGGGTGGGTTTCCTTATGCACCGCGACTAATAGTCTATTGTACGTCCCCCTTTAATTTCTACTGTCGCCATACCCTAACGAAACTGGTGCCCGCTATCTCCCCCTCTGCCAGCGAGGTCGGCCCTCTACTGGCATTGGTACCCAATAACTTGCCCATCTACCGGAGGCATTGGAAACTACTTGGGCGGGAAACATTTTGCCTAATTTTGCTCAGAGGTCTCCT